TCCCGTAGTTGCACATTTAAGTTTCAGCAGTGAAGCCTAAGGCTGAATAAGGACACACAGGACTATATTTTCAAAATAGCTTTGACATGCACAGACACCTTCCTGTTACATACACGGCAGCGATGTTCAGAACATCAGCTGGTTTCCTAAACACTTGTGCAATACTGATCAACCCAAGTGTCACTGGCCAGTATCCATTCTAGCAGTCCAAACTTCGATCCTCTCCAAGCAGCCTTTTCCTACCTGCTAACATATATTAATACTACGACTCTTGAGAGTAAAAGGATGCTTAAGAAATTTCAGTTGTTAATTAGAGCTCTAATTATTCTTTAAAAGGTGTTGAAATTAATCTTAAAATCTGGTAGTTCTTCTATAGCAAATGTAGAACCTAGGCTCCGCCACAGAAACAAGCAATGACTACATGCTAGCTTGGTACAGCACATCGTTTACATTAAACAGGAGTGCCTGTTATAATTTACTTTTAGCTCCTGCTAAAATAATTCATAAATACTTGAAAAGACATGTCAATATAACCTTTGCACCTAACTATAGTTACAGGTCGCTCCCACAACTACATATACAAGTGCCAACATCCAGGACAAAACCAGGAGTCTTACTTTGACCATAACATTTTCGCACGGGCCAGTGTCTCGTAAGAGGGAGAGGAAGGGCCAGCCCGCGGTGCGGCTGCCCAGCAGGTCCCCTAGGCAGCACCTGGGCAGCTCTCCCGGCGCGCTGAGGAGCAGGAGGCAGCGCTGACCTCGTCCCCGTGCGTCCCCGCGCTCCCGCAGCGCCGGCAGCCGGAGCAGGGAGCAGCCGGCAGGGCCAGCACAGCCCGGGCTGCTCTGCAGCACCTTGCGACCGAACAGAAGCCTGGCCAAGGATGCGAGTCCTAGAAATTCAAAAGACTTATTCAGCTTTTCCTTTAGCTAAGGCCAATCCTTAACGACAAGGAATTCTAAATACTGCAAATACAACAAGGCTACAGATGTATGAGTCAACAAAAGCTAATGACAACCTTTAGCTTCTCTGAATTGTTTTCATCATCTAATTTTTGATACATCAGCAAAACCATGGGATATTTTAATTTCTTAATGCAAATGGCCTATCCCTGCACCAAAGATTATGAGCATGATACAGGGTGGCCTTCGCATGGGACAGTGGCTGCTGCCTCTCCAAAGCCTTCAGCCAGAGCCAGAGATTCACAGTTTTCTACCCAGTATCTGAATCCTTTACACCTGATCTCTCTTGCTTCTTTCCCCCAGTATTCTTTCCAAGGTCTACATATGATCCTTTTGTGCAGTTGATATTACTCATCTAATCCATATATTTTTTTTATTTTTCCCCTTGCCACTTTCAGATTTGAAAGAACATTTACCATAATTGGAATTGGGGACATTAGTGGCATCCATCCTCTTATTGCTATAAATGGGCCCTACCGTATGAAATGTGTTACAGTATGTGGGCAACATCTCACTAACCTCACCAGCTCCCACCTTCCTGTTTAATTCCATAAAGTCCAACCTTGCTCTGCGCCTTCTCGGTGCCTGTTTATGTGCACAGCGACTTGCCGCTTGCATCCGGGAAGCTTTTGTAACAGTGGCAACTCTAATCAAACTCTTTCGCTTCGTTTCCTCATGCTTCCCCCAAAATATCTTTGTCACCAACATTTCTCAGAGTAGTAATTCTCCTGAGCGTTCCTGAATTTATAGGTCACAGGTAAAACAGCATATTCTTCGCAAATGTTAATGAGTTTACAAACTGCCAAGTATTATAATGCTAAATTTGATCATATTTCTCAACTGACCTTACACAGTCTTGGCACTGCAATATTGTTGCTTCCTATCTGATCTCCAAGGGCCTGATCTGAAGTTCATCTAGAGTGAAGGAAGAAAGATGTATTGAGATGAGCAGATTTTGGCCAGGCCTGAGACAGCCCCTGCCCCTCCGCCGCTGACACCCCCTTGCTCGGTGACAGCTACGGGGTCTCATTCGCTTTTGCAGCCTTCGGCCTGCTCAGGGAATCTAATGAAGTCCAAGCAGTGCAGGCATCAAGGCAGGCGTCCTCAGCCACAGAAATTCCAGCTTCCTAACTAAAGGGCACTAATATAATATCTGCTCTCTGCCCACACCCCTGCCATAACTTACACAGCACCGCGCAGGGCTGGAAGAGAGGAGGCAGCGGAGGTTTCCCGGAGCCCGTCCCGACCAGAGGTCTCCGTGTGCAGCCGTCTCCCTCTTCCCTCCTGCCAACCTCCCTGCACACAGCTCACTTCAAAAAGCAGCTGCTCTAACCCGTAGCTGCCTCCTCCGCGCCGCGGCCTGGAGGGCAAGGGAGCTTGGCAAGGGAAGCCGCGCTGCCCTCCAGCATCTCCACCAGCAGCCTGGGAGCGCAGCCTGGCAGCTCTCCTGGGCACTGTGAAACACCCACGACAGAGACACCACCCTTGTTGAGAAGTCTTTATGTTGCAGGAACCGCACAGTCTTTGTTACGGTAGATGATGACATTTAACATACAGCATCTGAAGGGTCAGGAACGAGGGCTAGCGTTATTTTAAGAAAGAAACAAAACCTCCATTGCTGAACAGTCTTCTACAATGAATTAATGTAAAAAAATACAGAATCCAAAACTGGAACCTTGGCATTTTTTAGATGGGCATCTCCATGAAATACAGGCTGAAATGCTGAAAACACCTATTAGCAATGTATGAATATTCTTATTACTGAAAAATGTGTCTTAAACACCAAATGTGCCCATCTCGATGACCTCAGAGGTGAGGTCATCTATCAGAAGCCAATTTAAAAACCACTAAACATGTAAAGGCGCTAGGTCGCTGTTGCTTGAGGTTATTAGTATACACATGCAAAAAAATGTCTTCACTAGTTCAGTCAGAGAGTCTTAATTATTTTCAGAGCCTAAAATGAACATAATTGTTTCTGGTATAGGAAATCACTAAAAACTCTAAGGTTTGAAAAGGGGGGACCATACCATTCCTCCAACCAGCAAGAAAAACAGGGATCAATGGAAAAGTAAAGTGTACTCTTACAGAAGCAAACTAAAGGTTTAAAAAAGAATTAATGGATAGGACTGCTAATGCTTTGTTTTCCAGATTTGTTTTTTTGCAAGTCATTCGGTTTACTTTTACACAGCTTAGGGACTAAGAACTAAGTAAGTTCTTAAGTAAGAAAGATGCAATTACTATATCCACCTGTCACCTTCACCAGATAACATTCTTTTCACTGTCTGTTTTTATTTCTTGCTAAAACTCCAGGAAGATAAATGTCATAAAGACCAGGCCTTTCTATAAAAAGATAATCAAAGAGCCTCCTGAAAGGATAATTTTAATCCTTCCTTCTTATATTCCACACAGCTATGATGGAGAGCCAAAAAACAGGGTGATCCACATTCCCAATATTAGGCAAAAATAAAAATACATTTTTGTCTGATCTCAGATTCCTGTATTTTTGGTTCTTCAAAAATGAATACTCTAGTTAGTATAATATAACATGGTGTACATTCTCATGCTTCCTATCTTGTGATACCTTTTTTTGACTCTTTCAGGATATGGAATGAATGTAGAATGAATTCATACACACACACACAAAAGCGTATAGAATTTCTGATAAGTGCAATTTATTTTTTATTTGCATTTTTTTCTGGCGTTTAGCTTGCTTTCCTCTCCTGCCGTCCGACTTCAGTATAAAACAACTTTGCAATTCTCCAGTGCTGCTTCAAGATTAAAAAAATGGACGACAGCCAAAGCCAGTTTTGGGCAACTATCCAAAATGACACACCAGCTACATAGTGTAAAGTAACTTTCATTACCCTTGTTTCATGTAGCCACAATTTTCTTCTTCATCTCCTCATTCCCTTAAGTAATGAGACCTCCCTGTCAGGGTTGCTCCTCTCTAGGAAAAGTGTTAATTGTTACTGCTCTGATTCCTCCCAGGAATTGGGTTTAATCCTCTGCCACTTAACTGCCTGCACACTAGTCACAATGTGCATCGTGTACGTCCTGTACTGCCTGGAAATGGAAAGTCACGAGCATCGTTCGAGGTAGCGTGGTGCCTGATCCTTGTAGCACTCTGTTCTGAAGGTGAATTTCAGAAAAATGACATTCACTGTTTTTGATTTTTTAATGTATTAGAAATTTCTATCCTGGTTTGGGAGAGAGATTAGAGCCTACAGGCTATAATTGTAACATCTGTAGACAGTTTCATTAGGGAACTAAGCAATATAATAATGAGCATAGCAACAGCTATGCTCGCTCTTTCAGATAGAATTATAAGGTATATACCCAAATCTCAAAATCTTACCTTCTGCACTATAGCAATTCTGATTCTGTAAGCATAAATAAATACAACAAATTACCTGTACTTCAAAAATATGCTTGAAATATATTATATTATAAATTGTTTGGATTAAAATGCGTGAATAGTTGCTTTTCAGAATGGTCAGTGAATTTAAAAACATTCCCAAAACATTAATTTTTGAGGCAAACTGAATGTAGCAAAATATTTATCTAAGGAAGACCATTAAAGAAGCAGTTCAAGGGCATATGTATTTCTGAACAAATTTATGGCTATAGTTTATCCTTCAGCTACATCAGTGACATTACTATCAATTTATTGTTTCTACCTGCTGTGATCACAGCAGTATTTTCAGTATGAAATATCAGAGCAATTATAAAAGTGAAGAGGCACAAACATTTCTGCAAGGATTAAGAGCTGTACAAAGCTGCCAGGCATCACGGAGCCGCTCCGTGCGCAGCAAGGCCGTATTTACAAACCCAGCAGTCAGCAGAGCTGCCAGGTCCAACATTGCCCACAGCAAAAGGCAAGTCCGTCACATCAGGAGCACGTCTGGGCTGGAAGCAGGGGCGACACGTGGAAGGCAAAGCAGCTGCTTGCGCTGGGTCTCGGAACGTCGCCCCCATCATCCCGGGCAACACGAGCACCGCTGCTGCCGCTGCTCCTGCCAAGCTGTGCGGCACTTGGCTCTTCGTGTGGATTGTGTTGAGGAAGATGAGGGGGCAGTATCAGCTCCACTTATGCTACGCCCACAGGTTTTGTTATTGCTCTCCTATTAAAGACATGATAGGCAGAATCATTAGCTGTGCAAATTATTTTCTTACATAAGAAGAGAGTGTCATGTTGTGATGGTTCAGAGGTGAGCAGCAGCTCTGATAGCTCTCCTGTTTTTCTACGGGTCTCTAGTCAGCAGATGCTCCTTCTGCTGCTGGCTCTTTTGCCTTCCCTTGGGATTACCAGGCTTTGCCAGCACCCTATTCCCGCTCTTCTCTCATGGAAAAGCTGCAGGGGTCCCTCAAGACCTTAAGACCTCCATGATCCAGGCCCAGAGGGCCTGTGCTTTGGGCCGCTGCATCCTGCTGTTTGTCGTGGCCTTGGCACCCGCAGACACTTTGGGCACCGACGCTGGCTCAGTGTTTGCCTTTAAATCCCCACCCGCTCCCCTCTTTCCTCCTCTTTGCCAGGAGCACCACGTTCCCCCTTCCCACCAATTACACAAGCACTGCTGTTTCATGGCTGCCTGCTGAGTCAGATTGAAGGGCTGTTCTTACTTCAGAAAAACTTGCAAAAGAATTAAATACATAAAGGCAAACCAGTTTGCCTCGCCCCGTCCTGGTGCGGTCTCACCAAACGTGTCTGCAAGAAGGCAGCGGCAGCGGGAGCCGCTTGGGCTGTGAGCCAGACCCCGTGGTGCCCCCGTCCCCGCGGTCTGCGGGCACCTCCTATGACTTCTCCTGTAGACATAAGGCTTGTCCCAACAATTTAATATCCTTCTGAATTCGAAAGGAGAGAGAAACAACCCTGATAATCAGATGTGAACTACAAAGTGGGCACCCCTAAATTAATGGCTATTTCCTTAAGAACTCTTAATTCCTTTAAGGATCTCTGATTTCATTTCTTGCCGATTTTCCAACAGCTGAGAATTAAACAACATGAATCCATCTGTATATTTTGATGTCCCAACAGAGGTTGCGTAGTGATTTGTACGTTAATCTCATGTTCTTCACACTTATACCAAAGGAATAGACTAGACAATTCTTCCTCGAAAACCTAATCAAAGATTTTATTTCGATCAGTTCATTTCATGTGCCTTTTTTTCTGTTTTGTCCACCTAATACAAGTAGTAAAAACTGAATCTCTTCATTCTTTTAGTCATGTGAAGTAGTAAGTTTTATAGTAAGTATCTGAATGATGGTTGTGCCTCAAATACAACAAAAACAATGTATTTTCTGACTATCACGAAGATTTAAAATACTTCAAATTTTATACTTTGAATAAAACAGTTTATTTCTCCAACAACATGAGAGAGAAACAGGAGAAATCCATAGCTTGCATCATTTCTTCCCTCAATTTCCTGTTATTGTCTCAGGACTCTTTCAGTATAAATACTGATACACAAATACCCATAAATTTCCTACTGTACCATGGCCTTCTTGACTTTCCTGAGAGTTCTGGGAGGCAGAAATGGGAAAGGTAGTGCTATAAGAAACAAAAATGTCTGTGATTTTCTAACTGAAAACCATTAGCAATCATCAATAAAAATAAAATCAAAGCAACAAAAACAAGATTTCAAACCAAAAGGCGTAAAATAATAGATTTGGAACAATGTGATTTTCTTTCATGGCAAATGTTTTCTTGATCATGGCCACCAAACAGAGTACAGATACATTAGGGACTTGACCATCAGCTTTGAGAGAGCACACTGAAAATAAATAAATGTCTCCTCGATGTGGAGCACATGGACAAAAGGAATGTTTTCCCTGGCAAACTCGACGTGCAAACTTTTAGATTATTTTCATCTTTTCTTTCAGCATCTGTAAGCAATGGGGGCAATCCTGAAAGGAGCTGGGAAATCTCAATGACCACAGTGGAAAAACAAATATTTAATTTTTCCATAATATTTTATTTCTAAATAAAAACAATAAATTCCGTTCCTCTCTCCTCTCTTCTTCTTTTTTTTTTCTCAGAAGAGCATTTCTAATCACATCTTTACAAATGTGGGGAACTTCTGAAGTCACCTTTGTACCCTCACTCATAGCATTACCATTACCACTGCACAAGGAGTTGGTGAGAAAGGATCTACTTTACGTGAGGCTGTGAAAGCAGCAAATTCAAGAAGGATGCTGATTTTAATTCATGGACTGATTTGTAGTAAAACACTGACTCTAATCAGCTGAGGGATTACAGAAAGCTCAACAAGCCATTTGTAACCCATGCCAGGGTTCAGGACCTATCGAGTCTCCTTTGTGCTGCATGTAGCCAGGGCAGTGATCCTGGAATGGAGCCACGTCTCGTTACCTACTGACAGGAAAGAATTAAGATTACTTGTCGCAAAAAGAAAAGTCCGTAGGTAAATCATGCTATCTATATATATAGCTTCTTGAAGTTATTTATATTAACTAAATAAATTAAATCTATAACTATTGAACTACAGTGATAATGAGTACCCATATATATGCATAATATATAACCATAATCCCAGCTAGAAATGTTTACTGGGATCAAAGATGAACTTTAAATAGATTTTGCAGAAGTTACCAATACACAGTCCAAACATGCTGTTTTATAAGAGAATTTTCCAGCTGCAGATTGGAGTGAGATAAGAGCACTTTGAAGGTATATATACTTAAAAATAAGATACTTCTTGCTGATAATAGGCTCTTTCTGTTTTTGTTGTCGATGGTTTTTATGCTACAATATAAAATTGTCTCCTACATTTTTTAAACGTTGATTGTATTTTTTTTTTTTCGGCTTTGAAGGGCACAAGAATCTTTTCCTCCAGCCTCTCTAGATGGAACAAAAAAGACCAGCCTGGCACAGAAAAGCTCTTAAAGTCTCAGGCTTATTCATGGGAAAATAATCCAAATATAGAATGCAAGAAAGCAGGCTTTATGGAGGAGTAGCATAAAGCAGGCTTTATGCTAGGGTAATGTTACCCTAGAAAAACATCCCAAAAAGCAAAATGGTCTTTGCAGACAGTTTTAAGAGGTCTTAAGAGAAACTGGCCAAATTTCTCCATTCATTTCCTGTTAAACTGAAATCTTAGTATCATGTGCATGTCCTGTGAATCCAGGACTATATGTTTTGACGTACAGTCTAAAATTTCCATTCCTAAAAGCAACCTATTTTTAGGGAGCTTTCCAAATTTTCCTTGGGCACATAGTGGCTGTTACAGAAAATGCCTTTACGGCTGCTGGGACGTGCGGCGCTGCAGCCAGGTACATGAGCTGCCTGAACGGACTGAGACCACTCGTTGTTATTCAACAGCTGGATACAGAAGACACTTTGTAAAATAATTAAATGAACTAATAGCTTATAGGAAAAGGCAACAAGTTTGACTTCAGTTCCTAAAATTTGAGTAAGTTACTTCATGTTTTCCAATAATGTTTACCTTGTAATCCTGTTAGTTCCTGGCTCCTCCTGGCATGGTACACTAATTTAAGTGTCTATTATTTTTTTCTTGGAATCTGTGGACCCTGTGGGCACAGTCTCAGGCCCTTTTCAGGCCCCAGCAGCTGGTGGGTATTTCAGTGACCAGAACATCCTCTGGCTGCCGCAGCCATCCCAGGGGACTTCTGGCTGCCAGCCATAATCCACTTTAAATCCATTATTCTTTAGTGAGGGGAAAAAGGAAACCAAGCCAACGTGAGAGGCAGGGCTGAAGGCAGGAGTGCCCCTAAAAGCAGGGCATGTTTGTGCAGACGTGGACGGGAGCTGTGTGTGGCTGGACCAGGAAGGTCGCTCACCAGCAATTCAGCGTGTTCACAGGGCAGTTCTAAAACTTGTACAAGTCACCTGTTCAGAGAGGATTTTTACTTTGATATTACTGCACACGCTAACACAGGAGTTCATAATCCAAACCTTTGCCACATTTCAGGCATACATTCATTGTTTATTTTTGAAGGTGAGATGTCTCCTCCCCATAGCCTGTCTTCTTCAGTTCATGGAACCCATTTTCAAGACATGGAAATTCCTTTTCTTCTCTATTTAATGTAGGATGGGCTTGTCAGCAGGTAGGAAGGCTGTTTTGTACATATGTTCCTTACTACAGGAGTTAACAGCAGAGTCAACTATTAGAATAAAGTGGTTCTTGCACTATACAGATCTGTTGGCATGCTAAAATTAGAAATCTGGATGATAAATCCATTTGTCAGGATGGGTGACTCCTGATAAACTAGAATAATACTTCTAAGTAAAGCTAAGGTTATACTGTGTGTTTTTGTTTCCTAGAAGTGCACTGATTCTCACTGATTCAGTGAGAAATTAGAGAAATTTTAAAAAGCTTTTTTTGCTTTTATACTGCAAGCCACTGCCTTC